CATTGTACACAGATTTTCTGTATATATATGTACATGTGCTTTTTTCTGGAAAAGAGGTCCATAGCTTTTATAAGTTTTTACATAAGAGGGTTCTGTAAAAGGAAGGAGAGCTACTTATCTAGAAAAGTAGAATGATTCTGAGCCCTGAATGCTTACCAGTGAAAAGGTTTCAAAATAAAGACATCTAAACTCAGTCGCAGCTTCCAGGGATTGTGATGCAGTGGGTTTGAGGTAGAGCATTGTCAAGCAAGGATTGGTAGCCGCTGATCTAGACAGGAGTAGCTCTAAAAGGTACTCCATGAGAACAGAAACTATCTGTTAATTGCTGTAGATAGAGGCTTCAGTGCCTGGCACATAATTGGTACTCAATGAGTATTTATTGAATGAATGAGTGCTAGAACTCTCTGGTTCAGAAAAGTTAAAAAAGACACCACTACCCTCCTCCCCCACCATTGGTTTTCAGTCATAGTAAGTCATGCTGGAATCAGTAAAAAAAAAAAAAAATTTCCTCACACAATCATAGTCTACCTTTGTACTCTAAATAGCTGAGGCTGTTGTTGATACCCATCACAGGCAAATGTTACCAGAAATAAAGTCAAGGAGTAATAAGGAGCAGGAACCTCAGATCCTTGGTTAATGGTACGTGGAAGAATTGTTAGCAGCAATATGCAACATTTTTATTGGGGGTTCTGGCTGTTTCAGCACAGCTTGTCTTTGGTATCTTCCTTATTTAGGTGGCTCTGACTGGGGAAGAATCATACAGTGATATAACAGCGCTCCTTTGCAAATCCCATTGGTATTCATGGCCTTCTCTTTTTTCTCTTCCCATCTTTTTTGCTTCCCAAGTAATAGAGAGGACCCTCCAATTGCTAATGAGTTTTTTTAGTGTAGTATGATATTTCAGTTTTTAAGTATTCCTTTCTATGAGATTGAGGGGCACTGTGTGATTAATTCATATGGAAACAAGCATATGTGGCAGCCAGCAGAGAACTGAAGTGTGGCAAAATTACAATTGCATGAACCCCTTTGCCTTCTGGAAATTATGAGTAGGGGTGGTCAGTCAGGCTTTGGGACAGCAAATTATCTTCAGTACAGAGTCTATAAGTATCTGAAAATTCTAGGATTTCTCTTATTTTTTATGTATACTGTTGAGATCCTTTGGTTATGTCGACTACTTCTGAAAATCTTTGAGGGAGAATGAGATGGTACGTTTTAGACCAGAGGGAGATTTCTTTGTAGTGCAACTAATTTGGGTGGATTATGAAAGGAGATGATATTGTGATTCATTTCTATTAATATGTAGGCTGTTTTATTAGGTATAAGAAATGGATAAGGGTCAAGAAGGAACATGAAGACCTACAAACAAGAGGTTTTGGAACTTGAGTAACTCAAGCCTTTCTTTTAAAGCTAAGGGCCATGGCCTGAAGGATTAGAAAGTATTTTATTCATAACATCTTGAATTAACAGATGAGACAGCCTCTTTGACTTTGGGGAATCTGCTGAGCAGGGATATTTTTAATTAGAATAAATCTTTTTTAGATCAGTCCTTTTCAAACTTTAATACGCATATAAATCACCCGGGGATCTTGTTATCATGCTGATTCTGATTTAGTAGGTTTACGATTGGGTCTGAGATTCCACACTTCCAGAAAACTTCCAGAAGATATTAGTGTTGTTGCTCCAAGGACCACACTTTGAATAGCAGTTTTAGATAGTTCTCAAAGTGGTAGGAAATGACTAGATTAAGAACGGTAACGTTAGAGGGAAAAATGCTGCCTGTGATAGTATAGATTATTAATTTAAATTAAATTTAAATTTGAATTAAATTTAAATTCCCACCTTTTTCCTTTCCGTTGTGCCTGGATGGAAATGGTCAGATTAGACAGTCCTGAAACTTTAAAAAATTTAGACTGTATAGAAAGTAAGCTTAAACAAGAGGCTCCAGAGACCCCATGAGAAAATAGAAAACTACACCCTTGGGCTAAGTAAGTCATCAACTACTACTAGGACTTTGAATATAAAAAATTATAGTTAATAATACTCATAGAAATGTTAGTAAACATTTGCTTTTTCATTCAAATATTTGAGATTGTACTATAGCCAAGGCATATTAATCACTTGTTACAATGTAATCTAGCTTTACTGTTACAGTGTTAGCCAGTGGTTTCATTAGGTAATCCCACCATGCTGGTTTTATTGTAACTATTAAACTGTTCAACAAATTATGAGCTGTATACATGGCTAAAAATAAACACTGTTGTATCATGATCACTTGTAAGATATCTCAGTTTGTGAGTTGATGATTTTTTTAATCAATTGGTGACTTTTATATCTTGTGATAGACCAGAAGTTAAAAAGAAACCCAGAAAGATTAAAAGAAACTCCTATGGTGGTGTGCTCCTAAAAATGCTAGGCAAAACATAAATATATGTAAACACATAATTTACAGATACATAATTTATATAACAGACTTAAAATTAGTGTTATATGATACACTAAAACTTCAACAACAACAAAAAAACCTCTCTGGTTTAATGCTCTCAAAAATTCTGGATAAAATAGTAAGAAAAGGTAAATCATCTAACAGAAAAATGAATATTGGCATTTGCCAGAAGACCAATAAACGTGAAATAAATTACTGTTGAACACATTGAACTCATTTTAATATTCAGAGAAATGCAAATTAAAGGCACTAGATAAGCATTTTACATCTGTCAGACTGGTAAAAATAAGAAATTGGGGGGCACTTGGCTGACTATCATTAGAGCCTGCAACTCGATGTCAAGGTCATGAGTTCAAGCCCCACATAGAGAGAGGGATAGAGATTACAATCAATCAGTCAATAAACAAAAAATTTTTTGATAGTACATAGTGTAGACAAAGATGTGGAATAATGAGTAGTCATATGTTTTTGGTAGGAGTGTAAATTAAACCCACACTTTGAAAATGATTTGTATTACCTAGTAAAGATGAACCTGTGTATGAACATGAACTCAACAACCCCATAATTTCATTCTTAAGTATATATCCCAATTTGGAGAGATTCTTAAATAGGTACCCTAAGAGATAAATATAAGAATGTTCCTTGCAGCATTATTATAACTGGAAAAAAACTAGAAATAACCCAAATGTTCATATACTGTAAATAGATAAAATGCATTTTGATGTATTTTTACAATGGAAATATTATTTATTCTGCAATCAAAATGAATGAATTCTAGCTACACAGATTGAGAATGAATTTTTTAAATATTGGATTTCAAAGCAAATTATAGCATAATATATACAACATGCTTGTATTTATTTAAAAATTCAGAAACCGGGAAAAGTGTTGCATTGCTTAAGGATGATACATACATACAAATGTATAAAAATTGTAAAGAAAACCTGAAGATTAACAAAATTCAGAGTGGTGGTTTCAGAGAGGTTATGTGACTGATGAGCACCTGTGGGAGAGGGCTTCAAATATATTGGTAATATCTATTTCTTGAGCTGGATAGTGAGTACATGGGTCTAAATGTTTTCATTTATTATTAATTAAAATGTCATTCTAGCTGTTATATACTTTATAGCTATGTTTTATAACTTTAGAAAAAGAAAAATATATTCACCTAGATTAAAGATTAGTGCTATTATAGTTTGTTCATATGTCTCCCAATATGCTTCCTTGGGTGGGTGAGAATAGGGTTGCTTTAAAGGTCATAGGTGGAGAGGCATCTGGATGGCTCTGTCAGTTAAGTGGCTGACTCTTGATTTCACCTCAGGTCATGATCTCATGATCTGGGTCAGAGCATGGAGGCTGCTTGGGATTCTCTTTCTGTCTCCCTCCCTCTCCCCCCAACCCCATGTCCCTCTCCCCAACTCATTAGTACGCACACTCAAATAAAAATTTTTTTTTAATTTTTTTTACATTTTTCTCATTTTTTTATTGTTGTAAGAAGTAACCACTTTTTAAAACAAAATTTGTATTCAAATATTTTGCTTTTATATAGAAAACTGAAATATATGACAAACCTAGTACAGGGGGTGGAAGAGAAGAATTGATTATGTACTTTTACAAGGATTTTATACTACATGTGGCTCTGTATAACGTTATTTGCATTTAAATTCAGATAATGTAAAAATGTGTATCGTAAACCCTAGGACAATCACTAAAATAGACTATTTATTTATTTTAATTTTTAATAAAAATTTTAAAAAATAGGTGGGGAAGTTTTTGTGGAGGATGACATTTCATGCATATCGTGAAAAATTGTTTAAACCACCGTTGTTAGTTTAGAGCAGTGTAGTTTAGTGGGGTGGGCAGACCCATAAACATATAACTGTAACAAAATATGAGTGCGCCACTAGAAGAGATAATGTTTACCAAAAAAAAACCAAAAAGGTTAGGAATCAGCCAGGAAACCTTCATGAAGTAGATGTTAATTAAGCTGGGTCTGTAAGGATGAGCAATTTGTAAAAGGAGGTATGTGAGGGAGCCTCCATTCCTCTGTGGGGGAAGAGGAAGTACAAAAAGGCACAGAGGCCTAAACGTCCATGGAGAATTGAGTGAGTAAATTCAGGTATGTTAGGAGCCATACTGTGAAGAGCCTTGTGTAACATGCCATGGAGTTTGCACTATGGACATTGAGGTTTTGTTTTATTACTTAAATTAGGGTCATTGATTTGATTACAATATGTCAGGCTCGCTAGGCGTTACTTTGAAACTGTATATTTGTGGGGCGCCTGGGTGGCGCAGTCGGTTGGCGTCCGACTTCAGCCAGGTCACGATCTCGCGGTCCGTGAGTTCGAGCCCCGCGTCGGGCTCTGGGCTGATGGCTCGGAGCCTGGAGCCTGTTTCCGATTCTGTGTCTCCCTCTCTCTCTGCCCCTCCCCCGTTCATGCTCTGTCTCTCTCTGTCCCAAAAATAAATAAACGTTGAAAAAAAAAAAAATTAAAAAAAAAAAAAAAAAAAGAAACTGTATATTTGTGTACTTATGTTCTTTTCCCTCTACTTTCAGGCTGCTATATGGCAAGCACTAAACCACTATGCTTACCGAGATGCAGTTTTTCTTGCAGAACGACTGTATGCAGAAGGTTTGTAATCTGTTCATTTCTATAAAACAATAAAGGAATAAAATAAATGGAATTCTGTCCTTTCCTATGACTTCAATATAACAAGATTCTGGGGATTGCTTTTGTTGTTTCTTTATGATTGGTACTAGTTCATAAAAACTTTTCCTTGCATCTGTTATCTCCCTTATGTGCTACTTTTAATAACTGTAGAGTTGTTTCAGGTTTTACACTATGGTTTACTTAATCATTTTCCAATCTTTAGATATTTTTGTCTAGGTTTTCTGTTAAAAGAGTCTATATTCTATAGCTAAGAGCATGAATTTAGTCTATAGCTTTGGTATAAACCCTCACCCTGTCACTTATGCAGTTGTAGACCTTGGACAGTCACTCAGTGTCTGAGTATTTCAGAGTTCTCATCTATAAAATAAAGTTAACGATAATCGCTTGAGAACGTTGAAGAGTGAAATGAGATAATGTATTTAAAGCACTTGGCACAGCCTTCTGGCATGGTAATAAATGTTCGATAAACATGTGCTGGTTATGTATGCTTTGTTTCTGTCATTAATTCTTGTAATTCTCTTTCTAAGATGCTAATACAGATAATTAGGTACAGCTTTTTTTTTTTCTTTTATATGTCATTTTGTGGGGCTATATATTCTAGAATGGAACTTACAAGTCAAACGGTGATCAGTTCTACAACAAATTACTTTTTCCCCAGTTGATAACCCAGCAGAGAGAAGGGTAAAATAATCTGGGGTGTGACCAACACCATAAGACTTCCTTCATAATCCTTTCAGTATTAGATTTGATCAATTTAATGTATTTTTGCTTGCTTGAGAATTATGAAATATTTTGTCTTGCATTTTTATAACTACAAGGGATTCTGGGTATTTTCTCAAGTGTTTGTTTTAAATTTATTCCTGGTTCTATGAGGTATATCTTTATTGTCTATTTGACCCAGATTGTTGCTTTTTAATCTTAATTCTATTGGTATGTTTAAAATTTTTATGTAGTTGACCTCATCTGCTTTATCATTTATACTTTCTTCTATTGCTTCAGTAGGTGGAAAAGTCATCTTTCTACAACTACAATTAATATGTGGTTATTGATGGTTAAAAAACTTTAAAGAATTTATCATGGTATTATTACTTAATTTATTCAATATTGTATATTAAACAATGCTTTTTTCCCTCCTGCATGGTGTTTTACTTGGTTTTATATTAAATTTTTAAAAAATGTTTTGTCCTGGGGTGCCTGGGTGGCTCAGTCAGTTAAGCATCAGTCTCTTGGTTTTGGCTCAGGTCTTGATCTCTCAGTTTGTGGGGTCATGCGCTGTGTCAGGCTCCACAACAGCATGGAGCCTGCTTGGGATTCTCTGTCTCCCTCTCTCTCTGCCCCTTCCTTGCTCATGCTTGCTCTGTCTCTCAAAATAAATAAATAAACTTAAAAAAAAAAAAAAAAAAACGCTTTGTTCTGTCTCCAGAATTTCTCCTCTCTTCCATTAGTTAATTTTCTGTTTTTAATCCAATATCATGCCTTTTTTTTTTTTTTTAAAGAGAGAGAGTGCAAATCGGGGAGGGGGGGAGGGAGGTAGAGAGAGAGAATCTCAAGTAGGCTCCACACTTAGCATGGAGCCCAACATGGGGCTGGATCCTACTATCCTGCGATCATGACCTGAGCCAAAATCAAGAGTCTGTCACTCAATCCACAGAGCCACCCAGGCACCCCCATACCATTTTTAACACTTTATATTTTAATATTTCATAAGGCCTATCACCCATCATTTTTTTCTTTCCAATTCATTCATAAGAAGTCTTTCCCCTTTATTTATCCTTTATTTTTCTATGTCTATTTTACTATTGCTTTGAAATTTCACAAAGATTTTGATCAATGCTGACCTGCAAACATATAATTCTCTAAATTACTATAGATAGCCCTCCCAAGAAGAAATAGTGCTGCCTTCTTTTTACTCAGGTGTTTGTTTGCTTAATTCAGTTTTTGTACTTTCTGTGTATGTTCCCATTGGATTACTTGCCAAGAGTTTCCATTTTTTTTGTGGTTGTAGATGAGCTTTATTTTTGCGTATTTTGTATGTTTGTGTATGAATTGCTATTGGAACCTTTCTGATCAGTTGTATGATTTTGCTCTAGTAGCAAGTGCTTAGTAACCTAACTGCAAGCATAAGAAAGTAGATCTTAGGGATTTGCCAGGCATGTGTCACCAGAAAGGACAAGGGATAAGAACATTAAAAATACAGATAAGATATGGACCAGGAAATGTAAACTATAGGAAAGTTAACAGAAGAATATTGGTGAATAAGATTCAGAGAAGTGCCAGAAATCTAGATGAGGTTGAATTGGGAGATGTGGGGGAATAACATGGGAGCAGAAGACCATGAATCAAGTGCAGAATTTTTCCATTAATGAAGCAGAATGTCCTGCATTTAGTAGCTGAGAGTTATGAGGAGAAGGTATGAACTCAGGAGCAGGGAGTTTCACAAACAGGCAAAGAGTAATGCTTGGAAATGGTTTTACGAAGCAAAGAGGAAACCTTACCTTGATTCTGATGTAAGTGGGATATGAGGGAAATAGCATCACTTTGAGAGTGCTGTCAGGTCCTTCAAGAGAGACTGGAAATTCAGTAAAGAAAGTGGGGAGGATCTGTGTGTGGAACAGGAGTCTGAGGTCCCAGTGAAAGGATTTAGAAGGTGAGAGAAGCTTAGAAAGAAAATAATGCAATAGATTGCCCTACTCTACTCGATATTTTAAAAGCAAGGTGTATAATGCAAAACCTACTGACATATATTTTCATTGATACCTATGCAACCCTCATGTTTTGCTGTCTTATACTTTCTTTTTTGTATTTGCTTATTAAAGGATTGGCAGTTTCTAGTTTATTATAGTTAGGCTCTAAAAGATTGTGAGTTAGTGGTTTCAAATTCAAACAAGTAGGTTTTCCCATAGAATTGGGGCAGGGTTCCAGATGAATCTGGATAAAGCTGTTTAATCCACTTTCTGTGTTTGATACAGTGCTTGACACTTGGAAAGTTGTTCAGTAAGTGTTAGTTTCTCTCAACATACAGTTGACCCTTGAACAACACAGATTGGAACCATGTGAGTCTATTCGAATGCAGACTTTTAATACAATATAGTACCATAAGTGTATTTTCTCTTCCTTATGATTTTCCCCTTTTTTTTTAAATTATTTTAATGTTTATTTTTGAGAGAGAGAAACGGGGGAGGGGCAGAGAGAGAGGAAGATCCGGAATTCGGGGCAAGCTCCAGGCTCCAGGCTGTCAGCACAGAGCCCAATTCAGGGCTCAAACTCACAAACTGTGAGATCATGACCTGAGCTGAAGTTGGACGCTTAACCAGCTGAGCTACCCAGGTGCCCCTCTTATGATTTTCTTAATAACATTTTGAGAGAGAGAAAGAGAACATGAGCAGGGGAGGGGCAAAAATAGGGGTGGGGAGAGAGAGAGAGAATCCCAAGCAGGCTCCATGCTGACAGCTCAGAGCCCAACTTGGGACTTGAACTCAGGAACCACAGAGATCATGACCTGAGGCAAAATCAAGAGTGATGCTTAACCAGGTGAGCCACCCAGGCACCCCAACAGTAGGCTTTTATAGTAGTTAAGTTTTGGGGAAGTCAAAAATTACTGCAGATTTTTGACTCTGCAGGGTAGGTGCCTCTGACCCCCTCATTGTTCAAGGGTTAACTGTTGAACTTAACCACTCTGTTGAAGTCTAATTTCTATGAGGGAAAATTTTATGGGAGCAGATACTATCCTAGTTCAATACCAATGACAACAGTAACTTCTAAAGAACATTTATTGATTCCTTATTATGTACTAGGTACTCTAATACTTAATTTCTTATTTAGTTTTCAATAATCCTATAAAATAGACATTACTATTGCCATTTTAGAAATGAAGAAACGGAGAACAGTGTTCACAGGCAGTAAGTGGTAGATCTTTCTGATTCCACTTTACCAAGGGTAGCAGCAAATACAGGCCAGTCTGACCCATAATAGACATTACTAATCCATCATACTACTTGTTCCTGTTGAACCAGCCTCATAATTCTTATTAACACAGTGTTGCTGGCTGACAGTAATAGTTGATGAGAATTGGTATGTTACATGTAACCTGGTGCCCTTTTGCTCAGTGGCGTCCTAATGCCACTAGCGATAGCTCCTGTGTTTTAGAGAAGGACACCCTATGGTGCATGAGGCTAACGAAGTAGATGGATTGAAAGCCAAATTCTTGAAGTAATTTCTCAATTTCACTAGTTCTTTGTCACCCATTTGTCTTTCTCCTAAGAATTCCATAGTTAGACCACCTAAGACTGTGCTGTAAGCCAGATGGTGTAGAATGTCAGCTCCGATGTTCATTAGTCATTTGATCTTCAGTAAGAAGTTACTCTGAGCCTAATTTTCCTCATCTTTAACTTGGGAAGAGAGATACCTACTTAACAGGATAGTTTTCAGCACTAACTATAATAATCTGTGGTTTTGGCACGTAGGAAGTCCTTTACAAGTTCCTCTCCCCTAGCATATTCTATTACGGTGGCTTTTCAGATTTCTTTTTTTTTTTTTTTTTTTTTTTTTTTTTTACTCTTCTTACATATGATGTACTCTGATATTTTCTCTGAGTGTTATTATTGTTGTTTTAATGCAGGTTGAAATTCACCGAATTGATTTCACAATGCATAGTGAATCGAGCCTTGCTGTTTGGAAAAACTCCTAATCGTATCACCTCCCTCCATATCCCCTTCACCTACTTTTCCTTCCCACTGCCATACCTGATCTCCTTGATCAAAGGTTTTCTCCATTGCTAATTAACACACAATATAGATTCAGCTTTCCCCTTTGCCCTAATAGATAGCATGTAGTACTGCAATATCTAAGGTTTTTAATTGCTATTAAATGTATTTAGCTGTTGAGAATGAATAGAAATGGGTGGTTAGGAACAAATAGAAACAGTCTTAGATTATATGGACAAAGAATACATTAATACAGTAAATATGGTAGGTCCTTAGAGAGAGGTGATTTATTTATGTTCAGAAAATTAACCGGTTGTAAGTTTTGTGTACATTATATTTTATAAAGAAGTACCCAGGACCTCTGGGGAAAGATGAAGAATTGCTATCTGTGAGACTGCATGGGAGTGGCAGTTGTAACTGGTGAAAAGCAAGGAAGAAGAAGTAGCTGAAGACATTGTGTCAACATGTATTCCTTAAGTTATTCTGAGGGTCCTAGGGCAAAGCTCCCAGTTGCTTGAAATCTAGTGTTCTATCTTGATGTAGATTTTGCATCCCACGCTACAAAATGTTTATTTTTCAATATGAACATATTTAAGTTACTGTAAAATTATTCACCAGTTTTCTACCTGTCTTAACGATTAATGGGCCCAGATGTAGACATTGTACTGGGTATATCAGTTTCAGTAAATTGGGCTCAGTTGAAGAGAAGTGAACCAGAGTGAAAGGTTCAGCATCTGTTTCTCTTCTCTGTCTTAGCCAGGATACCGAGAGCCTAGACTCACAGAAATATGTGACTAAAAATGGCACCATTTTTTTTTAGAAAAAATTGTTTATCAGGTTATATTAAGGGCATCATTGAGGGGAAATGTCCAGAGTACTACTAATGATATGGCATAGTGTTTCACTTGTAGGCCATTATTGGAAAATTTAATAAATATATCTGGTTCCTAAAAATTTCAGTTTGTTATATGGGGGTGGAGCGAGGAGGGGAGGGTATCAAAAGGATGTCTGGTCCATCGGCCTAACCTTTTACTGTCAAAGTTAAATGCTTGCCAGTAAAAAGGATGATGCTTTTTTATTGTCATAGTTTTCATTTTTATAATGTGTTAGTGATTAAGACTCAGGTCTTCGAACAAACTTTTTTTTTATTCGAGACTCAAATGTTTCATTGCATTAACTTGGCTGTTTCACACAAACCTCACAGACATCAAACTCAATGCGTGTAAGCCTGGACTCATAATGTTCCCACGCTAATCTAAGACATTGCTATCTCTTACTAAAAAAGCTTCCTAACTGCTTTTCCCATATCTGCTCTTCCCTGCCTCTTCCCTTTCCCCTTCCCAAATCAACCCATTCTCTTTACTTTCCTTCTTAAAATGCTGTAGAGATGTCTAGTTGCTATAAGGATTTATCCCTAAATCTTTAGATCGCTTCCAGAGCCCTGCATGATCTGCTTTCTCCTTATGTGTGACCACTTTCCGCCTTCAAACACTAAGGAACCTTTTTAAAATTTCCTCCAGCCCTCTTACCTGTGGTATATTTACTCTAAGCACAGTTTCAAAGTATTTTAAAACATTTTAATCCTATCATATACAATAAAGACAAAACCAATTAATATTGCAATTTAGGATATAAACAAATGTAGAGAAAATAAAAAGTGGCAATAGTATTAAAATACTGAAGTTGTGTATGTAGATGAGGTATTCAACAAAAGAAATGATTCTGAAGGATGGAATGAATCATGCTGCATCTGAAAAGCATAGGATCCAGGTAGTTGAAATCCTTCGCAAAAGAAAAGTTAGTGATGAAATGGAATTATTTGAGCTTGTGGCTCATTGTCATATATGTGTAACCCACATTACTATCCAATGACTATTCAGGTATTGTAAATTTAGTAGTGTTGTACTCCTAAATGCATGTGCTGTACTGCCTTTCTTTGATTTAAGAACTTAGATGATTGGGGTGCCTGGCTGGCTCAGGGCATGCAACTCTTGATTTTGGGGTTTTGAATTCAAGCCCCACGTTGGGTGTGGAGCTTACTTTTAAAAAGTAAATTAAAATATTTTTTAAAAACAGAACTTAAGGGGTGCCTGGGTGGCTCAGTCAGTTGGGCGTCTGACCATTGATTTTGGCTCAGGTCATGATCTCATAGTTCATGGGATCAAGCTCCACATCAGGCTCCCTGCTGACAGCAAAGAGCCTGCTTGGGATTCTCTCTCCCTCTCTCACTGCCCCTCCCCTTCTTGTGCGTGCACTCTCTAAATAAACAAACAAACAAACAAACTTAAAAGATAATCAGGATGAAGTGTGTCACAAATCATAGATGATTTCATAGATTCTATGCCCTTCGAATACTTAACAATATCAGAATTCTTGACAAGGCAGCAGGCAGAGTACTTTAACCTGTAAGCAGTTCTCGACGATAATTGTAGAGTTTATCAAGACCAAGAACCCTCACCTCACCAAACTTTTAAGTCTTGCCAGAACTGGTCCATTTTGGAAGTCTGCTCATTTACATTGTAAGTCAACACGAAGAAGAGGTGTCTGTCTGACTTGAAAGCATTGAAAGACTAATTCACCTTCCTATTTGATGGAAATGTATCTGAAAGATGCAAGCTTAAACCTCTCCTAACTATTTTGGACTTCTATGAAATGACCTTTCGTTTTTGAAGCCTAGCCTGTTTGTAAGAAGAGGGACTTCAGCATCATTCTACAACTTCGTTTGGGGTTTTTTGTTGTTGTTGTTGTTTTCACTTAATAGTGTGTTCTGGAAATATGTGTCTTTTTTTTTTTTGGACGACTATGGTGAGTGTTTCACCATATGGAAGTACCATACTTTAATTAGTACATGATTGATTCCTCAATATTATGTTAAGAGTGACTGGAGTCAATTCTCACTTTAATCCTGATTATAAAATAAATTATGGGCCTTCTAATTCCCAATCACATATTTTAATTAAGGCTCTAAGTAAAGGATGGTAAATAAAAGGATGCCATGGAGACATCTATAACCATTTCTAGGTCCTGTTGCTTTGATCTCTGCACACTTACTACCTAAGCCATGATCAGTCTTAGAATCTTTCTGAATTTAGCACTCGAGGCAGCCACTATCAATCGGTTGGAGTTATTGTTCCAGACAAAATCTATTTGTTGAAAGTCTCTGCAGCTTAGCTTTATTATAACTCCTTACTACTGGCCCACTGGTTGTATTTAGGACTGTCAAGTTATTTCTGGAGAGCCTCAAAAACCACCCATGTCTCTCCATGTCTTTTACAACCCTTCAAGTTGTTCCAGATTTACATCAATATCTTACACGTCCATTAATCTTAAGGCGTGCTCAGCCTTCCAATCCATATTCCCATTTGAACTTGTAGATTTTAAGGTATCACGCTTCAAAAAGGTAATTGCAGTTACACACTAAAATTGTGCGCACACACACACAGAGTACTTGGTACTTTTATGTTCTTAGGGAATTTTAAAGCAGTGAAAATGGACCTATGCATAAACGAGTATTTGTAAACAAAACATTTGATAAAGCATTGTTATGGCTAAAAGTTTAACTAGGTTTGGGGAACCATTGCTTTTTGGTATAATCAATGAGTTTTTAAAAAACTTAATTTATAAAGTGACCAGAATCAAGGCCTTTATCACGAGATCAAAAAGAAATCACACTTTCTAATTTGTGTGAATTAGCACTTACAGTTCAGTGAAATTAGAAGTTTGCTCCCCCTACAGTAGAGCTCCCTATTCATTCTTTTTGCTTCTGAAACATTAATACTACGTACACCCCATTAACATGTGTGCCAAAGTTCCTGATCATTTACTCCATATCATTCATTGCATATTGTTTTTTTATACTAGAGTTTCATGAAAAGTCATAAGAGGGACCAGAGAAGAAGGGTTCTTTTTTTGCTTGCATATACATATATATGACCCAAAAACCTGTGTAAGAGTAATCTTTCAAATTACCTACTTTTTTATCCTAAACTTTGAATGAAGTTAACAATTTTTTATCCCAAGCTTTGGGTGAAGTTAACTTTTTAAGATGTGGCAAGTTTATCTTGTACTTCGGAACAGTGATTCTCAGACTTTAGCATGCACCAGAATTGCCTGAAGCGTTTGTTACAACGCAAGACCGCAGGTCCTCACTCCCAGAATTACTGATTCAGTGGGTCTCGGTTGAAGCTAAGAATTTCTAACAAGCTCCCAAGTCATGCCGTGCTGGTCGAGGGGCCAGCCACACTTTTAGAACCACTGGCTTAGAACACCCCTCAACCCACTGAGATTATTACCGAACCCATTTTTAGAAGCACAGATTTGTGATTTTCCTGCTTTCTTTCTATCTCCTTTGTTGTTGGCCTCTCTAGACTCTCACCTGGATTGGTTGGGAGATTGCAAGGATAGAAGTGAAGTGATGGTCAGTTTGGGAAAGAGTAAATAAAGGGGGAAATGCCACATTTCATTAACTAGGACAGAAGGGGCATTTCCTTCCTAGTATGGAGACCAGGGGACAGATTGAATAATTCAGCTCCTGCCACTGCAAGGCAGTATAATTGTCATTGCTGTAGAAGTGTTAAGTGTGTCGATTGAGTGGTTTAAATGCTGTGGGTATTCACAATTTAGTATTTTTCTTCTGTCTTAAATTATCTTGAGTGTAATTTAGTATACATTTGGTGTTAGAAAGAAGTGTTTTTTGTTTTTTAAAATCTGGTCCTTTTTTAACGTAGAACGTAATCTCAGATTGGTAATTAGCTTTGCAACCCTGAGTGCACCTTTCTCATGAAATTGGACATCTGTTCTCTCAAAGAGTCTGTTAGAAAAATACTACAAAAAAACAAGACCGTTTACTGGTAGTCTATTTAAAGGTAGGTGTGAGTGTGCGGGTGTGCACACAAGTGCGCACTTTTGTTAAGGATTTACAGAAAATACCATGACTGTCTTCATTGTATTACTTCCTTGGTTCTTTGTAAGAAGAAGGTAATCAGGACTTGGGGAACTAAGATTTCTGTCAGTAAAGTATTTCTCAATTCAAATTTGGATTAATAAATGATTGTTTTATATTAAATAACATGACTAATTTTTTGTTGCTAAACTTGTTTATTGCCAGATAAACAGTGATTACCATTCAACATACTGAATAATAGCCATTTTTTTTCATATGTGCTCTTAGTACACTCAGAGGAAGCCTTGTTTTTATTGGCAACCTGTTATTACCGCTCAGGAAAGGCATATAAAGCATATAGACTCTTGAAAGGACACAGTTGTACTACACCGCAGTGTAAATACCTGCTTGCAAAATGTTGTGTTGATCTCAGCAAGTAAGTTTTTAAATCTTTTCTATCTAATATTGTTTACTTACACTGTAGAATTTTGGATAAAATCCTTTTGATAGATTAAACTCTTGACTCCCTTTCTCCCCTCTTTTTTGGTAGTAGCAATTTGTGTATTTCAGTAACTTAAAATGTTTATACTGTTGCCTGTGGCATTAGCACTTTTGTTATGGAGAGATTTCATTGTTATGGTAATAAATAATAGAATTTAACTCTGGGGAAACTTAAGTTGTAACTAATTCCTGTCATTTCCCAAAATTATCCCAGTGTTATTTCCTTTCCTTTGCTTTCAATTGGAATACGCCTGAAAACCTCCTTACCTGTTCACCTGAGATTAATGCTTCATTATGTCTAGGTAGTTGTGTAGTTATTTGGCTTTCCAGACCACTCTGTCCTACCCCTTTGAAGCGAGGGGGCAGGTTCAGGAGAGCACTTCTTTTGAACATTACAATTAAACATGTCAGCTGTCCCTATTCTGAATCTGGAGGCAGGTAGAGATATAGGTAGTTATCTTCTGTTAAACTCTGTTCTGTGCTGTAAGAGATGGAATGATGCTAAAAGGGACTAGATAAATAGATAATCGCAGAAGTGTGTTTGTGAATGTAGTTGGTAGGTTTATAGTGAAAGGACACAAATGAGCCTCCTGAAGTCTCCACAGACCAATAATGATTATTGTATTTGTCCAGTGTCTAACTGATGACTTAAATTAAAAAACTAGCTAAAATATCTATAAAATTTCTGAAACATTTGTTATTGAATTATTTTTACTCCGAAGGTTTAATGCTAACTTCCTAAAAATATATTTAATTTGCTAGTTTCTTAAGCCAATTCTTACCTTGGACATTCTTATCTCATTTACAAGTATTCATGGTTTTTTAAAAGTCCCACTGACCGTAGAAGAAATATAGATATCACCTTTAATTTTTAGGATATGCAGTGTAAACTTACTAGAGTATTTTCCACATGATGATTTGGAAAAAAACTTTAAAAGAGATACCATTATAAACTCTGATATGCTAAAAATATATAGTGAAGTCAAGTATTTTTTTTTTCCTTTGGGAAACACTTGTGATTTTCTATATCAAGAAAACATAATTGGTAAATAAAAAGAGATGAAGTGCTATTTGGGTTTCTTTTATAAACCTAAAAACGAGTGAGACCATTAAGTATGCAGTTTTTCACTAACATGTAATTAGCGTTATTAAATTCTCTTGCAAATTCCTATTTCAAGGAGTTACAGAACTACATAAAAAGGACCACTACGTCTGTTAGTGAACAACCGTACACATTTTCCCCCAGTATAAAGACCTTCCATTTCTTTTGACGTGAGTAATGTGTATGTTGCTCACACTACATTTGTACATATAGGGACTCAATTTAACTGGTTCTGTTCTTAAAGGCAAGACTGGAATTTTAAGACCATAAATTCCCAGTCTTCCAAATGATTCTAAATACATGGCTATTGCTGTTCTAAAGGTGCCATGGACTTTGTACTTTATCTATCCCCATATTTGGAAGTACATTGGCAGTGAAGGATGTCTTTACACACAGTACTTTTTATGTTGACTTTTTTTAATCTGTAAATTTGTGTTTTAAAGGCTTGCAGAAGGGGAACAGATCTTATCTGGTGGAGTGTTTAATAAGCAGAAAAGCCATGATGATATTGTTACTGAGTTTGGTGATTCAGCTTGCTTTACTCTTTCATTGTTGGGACATGTATATTGGTAAGTAACAGTGATTCACACTACCAGAAAATTGTTTCCAGTGGTAGAATTCTTTGTGGTTAAAAAAAAAAAAAAAAAAACTTACACTTTCTGTGTTTATCAAATAGCACTTGGCTGAAGAGTACAGTCTTTTAGTTCTGTGACCTTATTAAACTTATAAAGTCGTGGAGATGTTGATCCCATTTGTCACTATCTGCTTTGCTTTAATGATGATAGCCACAGCAGCACTACCTAATATTTGAGTGCACATAGGAGGTTTTTTCCACCTTGGGTGAGGAGAATATCTTCATGTGATCCACTGAGGAAAAAGAAGAAATGAGTGAAGTTTTTTCTCTAATATTAAATATCACCTCGGCTCCTTAGAACAAGGCTTGAAGATAAATTTCAGTAATAAAGCATAGCAGTTCCCATCTGGTTTGCCATACTAATTTGGAGGCATGTCCTAAGAAATTTCCACGATGGTTGTTGAAATAACAGTGATCTGCAAATCATTTGAAATGTATTTAAAATTTCTCTACACTTACTTAAATTTAGTCTTTTGAAAGCAAGGGAGAGTGAATTCAAAGTTATCACTATAATATTGTTCGCACTCATTTTTAGTCTGAAATACTCCTTGGTTGGGGAGTAGAGGGTGGAGATATAATCAGGTAACGGGAATTGTTCATCCACACATGGGAGTGCGTCGCCTGTGTAAATGTCACCTGTTACATGTTGTAGGAGAATTGGTTGAGGATTGCTTGTCTGAGGATTAGGAAAGCACCTGTTTTAAGATAAATCGAGGCTAGTTTGAATAGTAGTTTTTTAAAAACCTCAAAAATGTCTTTTTGTACAGAATAAATTATTTGCCTGAATTTGGGGGCTCATTTTCATATGACATCACTCTTTTGAGAACAGGAGTAAATAAAGATACAGTAGCAGTATCTTCATTTGTCTTAATAAAAAGACATGGAGTAATGAATTTAGTTCATGCAACTATGATTCTTTTTATCATTTATTTGAGAAACTTTGAGGTCCATCCTCCCTTTGTGGCTAAACATAGTACTTGGTCCTGGAGATGTAAAGATAAATCACTCATAGTCCCTGCCCTCAAAGGTTTATAATAGAATAGGAGAGAAGCAGTAAACAAAAGTTTGTAAGTTTTTATCATCACAATAAAAATGCTGTGATAAAATTTGAGCAGGGGGCACCTGGGGGGCTCAGCCAGTTGAGCATCAGACTCTTGATTTTGGCTCAGGTCATGATCTCAGGGTCCTGAGATGGAGCCCTGTGGGTATGGAGCTTGCTTAAGATTCTCTATCTACCACCCACCCCAAGCCCACACTCCCATTCTCTCTTAAAAAAAAGAAAAAAATCGAGCAGTATTTTATCCAATGGAGGGAATAATCAGTTCTACCTAGTTAAGAAGGAGTGTAAGATGCTAAGTAAGAAAAACTTGGTAGACACAGTTTTGTTTCTTGAATTCTCAATAATAAAATTAAAACCTAAGGAATTAGACTGTGGGTGAAATATTTGAATGGCTACTTCACCAAAAAGGATATATGGATGGTAAGTTAGCACATGAAAAGTTGTACCAGATCCTTAGCTGTTAAGGAAAGGCTAATAAAAAACACCATTAGAAACCACTACGCGCTTGTTAAAATGGCTAAAATAAGAACGGACAAGGGCGCCTGGGTGCCTCAGTCTGTTGAGCATCTGACTCTTGATTTCAGTTCAGGTCATGATCCCAGGGTCATGGAATGGAGGCCCACGTCAGGCTCTGCACTGAGCGTGGAGCCTGCTTGAGATTCTCTCTCTCTCCCTCTGCCCCTCTTCCCCTCTTGCTAATGTTCTCTCTTTCTCTCTGTCTCTGTCTCTCTCTCTCTCAATTAAAAACTTAAAAAAAAAAAAAACAGTACCACATACTGGTGAGGATGCAGACCAATAGAATTTCTCATTAAACATAGATATGATAGGGGTCCCTGGGTGGCTCAGTCAGTTGAGTGTCTGACTTTGGCTCAGGTCATGATCTCACAGTTCGTGAGTTCGAGCCCCGTGTTGAGCTCTGTGCTGACAGCTCGGAGCCTGGAGCCTGCTTCAGATTCTGTGTCTCTCCCTCTCTCTGCCCCTCCCCTGCTCATGGTCTGTCTCTCTCTCTCTCAAAAATAAATAAACATTAAAAAAAATTAAAAAAAAACACATAGATATGATAAAATTACGATAGGGACAGATCAGTGGTTGTCAGAGGGGAGAGTTGAGGCAAGAATGTGGCTGTGCAGAGGCAGCTGTGGAGTTTCTCTGGGCTGTTGGAACAGTTCTGTCTATATCTTGATTGTGGTAATGGTTACACAAATCTATACGTGTGATGAAATTTCATAAAACCATACATAAATGAGTGCGTGTAAAAACTGCTGAAACCCAAATAAAGTCTGTGGTTTAGTTTACAGTATTATGCTATTGTCAATTTCCCAGTTTTGATAATTGTGCTGTGGTTGTATCAGATGTTGTCATTGAGGGAAGTTGGATGTAGGGTACATGGGAACTCTTATTTTTTTTCAACTTGTATGTGAGTCTAAAATTATTTTAAAATAAAGTTTAATAAAACAAAATAAAGTATTAAAATCACAAAAATACTATTATATATTACTAATTATTTTAGGGGTGCCTAGGTGCCTCTCTTGGTTGAGTGTCCAACTCTTGATTTCAGCTCAGGTTATAATCTCACAGTTCATGAGATCAAGCCCCATGATGGGCTGTGCATTGATACCGCAGAGCTTCCTTTGGATTCTCTCTCTCTCTCTCTCTCTCTCTCTCTCTCTCTCTCTGCCTCTCCCCCCTCATGTACTCTCTCTAAATAAACATTAAAAAAAATTTTAAACAAGATTAATAAAAGTTTTAGAGGAGCTGGGCGCCTGGGTGGCTCAGTCAGTTAAGCATCAGACTCCTGATTCGGCTTGGTCAGGATCTCACAGTTTGTGGGATCGAGCCCTGTTTCCAGCTCTGTGCTGACAGTGTGGAGCCCACTTGGGATTCTCTCTCCCTCTTTCTCCCTCCCCCACTCATACACACATGTGCATGCATGCACACTCTCTCTCAAAATAAATAAACATTTAAAAATATAAAAGTTTTGAAGGTAGAGTTGAATCAGCCCCTAACCATGAAGAAGGGTTTTACCCTTCTTTAAAAGAATGAGGGAGGTGCCTGGGTGGCTGTTAGTTGAACATCCAACTTTGGCTCAGGTCACGATCTCACAGTTCATGAGTTCAAGCCCCTGTTGGGCTCTGTGCTTTCAGTATGGAACCTGCTTAGGATTCTGTCTCTCTGTCTCTCTCTGCCTCTTCCCCACTCATGGTCTCCCTCTCTCATAAACTTAAAACAGTATATTTTTTTTTAAAAAAGGATAAGGATGGGTTATTTTTATTCATTATAAATATTAAAGGTTAAACATCCAGTGGGGGAAAACTCTACTCCAAAGACTGGCTTTTCATTTCAGCCATCATTTGCCTGTCTTGTGACCAAAATTGCACCCAGTAATCTGGATACATAGCTGTTGTGGTTTTGCAGCTTGTTAAGATATCTTTTTTAACTCCAGTATTTTGGTAGACAGCTTATTGATCTTTTTGTCTATAATAGCTCATGAGACTTCTGTTTAGGACACAACTGGTGGTAAGTCTGGTTCTTAGATTAACCTGTTTCTTCCCAGTACCATCTGATAATTTTTTCACCCCAATTCTTTAGAACATTTTTTTCCATTAAGAGCTACCACCTCGGGGTACCTGGCTGGCTCAGTTGGCAGAACATGCAACTCTTGATCTCAGGGTTGTGAGTTCAAGCCCTCCTTTGGGTACAGAGATTACTTAAAAATAAAATGTTTAAAAAAAAATTTTTTTTTTAAAGAGCTACCACCTCCACTTCATTAGAAAGCCCGATCATTTAAATATACTATATTTAAAGCATTTAAGTCACTTTCAAAATTACCATTGGGATATTACATTAAAAATTAAGCATAAGACTGAAATATTTGGATATTGTCCATATCGCCTTAAGTAATTCTAGATTCTGACAGCAAATTAAAAGCAATTCTAATACTCAAGAAGGCAATGATAATTGATTTTGCTAGCATTCCGTTCAATTCATGTTCTGCTTGCTTTCACCAGACTTTTGACTCGAACTGCCCCAAATAATAGATTAGAGAGTGGTGAGAAGGGGAAATTAGTAATTTAGGGAATGTGTCAAGAAGAGTACTCTCAGAACTTGTATGTGTGTATACAAATACACATATAGGAGTTACCTAATTTTTTGTACCAAAAAATTCTTTATGATGTTTTGGGTTGTGCAGCTTGTCTAATATATGTGTTTGTCTTTACAGCAAGACAGATCGGCTTGCCAAAGGATCAGAATGTTACCAAAAGAGCCTTAGTTTAAATCCTTTCCTCTGGTCCCCCTTTGAATCATTATGTGAAATAGGTAGGTTTGTAGAGGTGACTAGGGGAGGGTTCCCCGCTTCCTCTTCTTTTTTGTCTCAGCTCCTTAATTCTTGGAGAGTGATACAAATTATTCACAAGAAAAACATTTTTCCAAGCTAACAGCTGTTAAATTGAGAACAAGAAATAAGGTAATAGAATCATGTTTAAGGACTGATGTGGCCTTGTGTCCTCTAGAATGGGTTGTATTGTGAGTATAACACTAGGCAAAATAGCTTTCTGGATAAGGAAAGAAACTAATAGAATTCCTGGAGCAGAAACTGTTATGTAAATAAGACCTGGACAACATGGGGGAAGAGTGTCTTAGTATGTGTGCTCTAGAATGCATGAGGATCATTTTAAAACCTCGTGGACATATCCATGGCAGTGCTTCTAACTTGACTGTAATGTCTGTTGGGTTTCAGTTCTGCACCATCACTCCTTACCTGGAGCAAAATGAGATCTAGTTGCTTTCTGCTTTAAAAAAGCACAGAAATCTGCATTTTCCTATGATTTATTATATTTAAGATAGTGTTATTATAGTTTATTTCCTAAATTTACAGCTTTATGTGAAAATTTTTGTAATAACTTGATAGGTGGGCTTTGGGGAAGTAAATTTGATTAGCTGAAACAGGAGAACTTTAAAACTCTGGGTGAGGCCTTATTTCCACTGATATATGCATACTTAAAAAGATTAATTGTCGTTTCCTCAGAGGCATACATTTTTTTTTCCCTTCATAGGTGAAAAGCCAGATCCTGACCAAACATTTAAATTAACATCTTTACAGAACTTTAGCAACTGTCTGCCCAGCTCTTGCACAACACTAGTATCTAATCATAGTTTATCTCATAGACAACCCGAGACCGTTCTTACAGAAACACCCCAGGACACAATTGTAAGTATAATCCTATCCTAGTGTTCAAATATTATGGAAAACAAAAAAGAATGAACTAAATGTATCATAAATGACATGGTGGAAATTTTCTGTTTCAGGAATTAAACAGACTGAATTTAGAATCTTCCAATTCAAAGTACTCCTTGAATACAGATTCCTCAGTGTCTTATATTGATTCAGCTGTAATTTCACCAGATACTGTCCCTCTTGGAACAGGAACTTCCATATTATCTAAACAGGTTCAAAATAAACCAAAAACTGGTCGAAGCTTATTAGGAGGACCAGCTGCTCTTAGCCCATTAACCCCAAGGTAAGACAAACAAAAAATACTTTAAAATGTGCTATAATATTAAATGATTTGTAATAATTCATATTAGTAATATAAATTAATATGAACAGCAACTTCTAAATTTCTATGGAAATAGAAGCATTTAGTAAGTCAGTAATAGACCTATTCTGTTTTCAGAAAATGAAGTTAAAAATATAATACCTGTGATAAAAATTTAATGTTAAATATTGGAAAATTAAAAACCCTTAAATATGCCTTCTTCATCTAGTGTATGCGTTAAAAGATACTGTCTTTTTGGCTGTGTGTCAGTGAATCGCAGTGAACCTTTTGGAATGTTGGAATGCTTATGATCTCATCAGAGCGGTAGCAGTGGTTACTGTTAAAGTACTGTTTTCCAAACCACAGAAGAATTGACATGTATCAAGTATCAATAGGAAGTATTTTGTCAAAATTATTAGACGTATATGTATATGTGTGTAAATATAGGAATCCAGCCCAGAGGATACATATCCAAAAGTATCAAAATTAAAAATTCTGTGCTAGAACTGATGCTAGGAATTGGGTCCCGGGGCCGGAGAGCTAACTAAAACAGCATGACCGTGACATTAACAGCTCACTGAATCCATGTGTGGATTCAGCATCTCTAGAGACACTCTCTCTGTAACAGTGTCGTTTAAATCTCATAAAGTCCAGGAATTTGAAATAATTTGGTCATTTGTGTCTTCACTTTTACAAAGTTGTTCTTCTTTATTTCCAATAAATCTCCTGAGATCAGTAGTTGCTGCTCAATTTAGTTCCTTGTTTGATTTTTTTTTTTTTTAATTTTAGTTATGGTGGGTGGAATAGTCTACATTCACAGCTTATTTTAAATCTGCCCCTCAGATCCTCACTGCCCCCAAGACTGATTTGCCATTCTCTTCCTTTTAGACCTTCTAATTTAAGTATACTGCTGCTTTATATATGCCTTGATGACTTTTTGACACCTTGATTTCAACCTCTTCTCAGTTTTGGGATTTTGCCATTAGAAACCCCAAGTCCTGGAGATGGATCCTATTTACAAAACTACACTAATACATCTTCTGTAATTGACGTGCCATCTACTGGAGCCCCTTCAAAAAAGGTATTTTCCGTGTAAAGTAGTTTTGATGCTGATGAAAGAAATTTGTTTAAAATTCTAGTCTGTTAAAGGCAATCTCAGAGAGAATCTAACTGTATAAGTTTACTGTTGCCTTAGAGTTGTTGACCTAAATGTGAAAGAAGGTCATCACTGTCATAGGCTGCTGGTTATAGCAGGAGATACAAAGCTGATTGGTCTTTGTGTAAGATCATAACTCACAAGAATAGTTTATTTCAGCATGTAAGTAAATAAAGACTCAGATTTGTACTTTTCATGTCCCCATTTTTAAACAAAAATAAAAAGGTTTTTATCCTTTGAATATAAATAACAGAAACTATACTTGCCATTGTTTTACTTGTCCCCACCACTGTATTTGTCTTTTAATTGTACTATTATTAACATGAAAAAAATTGACTTGTATAAAGCCAGCTGTTTCTGAAAATAAAGTTTTTATGGTGGATTCTCTTGGATGTGTAGTAAATTTATAGTAAATGTATAGTAAAATGAAAAATACTTGACAGTATCCTTAACCTCATAGTAAATACTACAAGTTTTGAGACTTTTTAAATAATGTTCTCTTATATAGATCTATGGCAGTAGAGGTCAAAGTGCCATTTGTTTCAAACATCTATGGTACAGGGTTACCTTCTGTGAGAATTAAATTAGGTTATGTATTTAAAATGCCTATTGCCATGCTCAATAGATGTTTAAGAAATGGAGCTAAATAAGTCATACTAGTATGTGACTGATACAGCCCCTTTACCCTCCTAGAGACATGTTTATTCTTGTTTTTTTACTCCAAATACTCCTTAGAGTCTGTAAAGTTTTGTTTCTATAATAGTTCCTTAATGAGTAATAATAGAAACTCCAAGAATAGTAAAAAAGGGGCTGCAAAGTACTTAATGTGTTGGATTACTTTAAATCTCATTTTTAAGAGTTGACAACTACCCGCCATTGCATCGTTATAGGAGTGAAGTATAATTGTGGAAATTAGTTTATTATAATTACAAGGAGGCATAGTATGATGGTAATTAGCATATCGGGCGAAGTAGGCCAAAACCATTAAGGACAGTTAGTGATGGGTAGGCGATTTCATTGCCCAAACGATAAAGCCATCTGCTGTCTTACCCTCTTCTGCCCTTGCTCTTACAAGACATTCCTAGGAAAGCTGTACTTGTAGGTTTGCACGTAGTATCAACTAAAAATATCAAACTGAATATTGTATGCAGTACATAGTACACCTTTGTTAAATAAGGAAGGTCCGGAGTTGACTAAGTTTTGTCCCTTGGGTGAATGTAGAGTTCCCACCTTGGGGAAGGAAGAGGAGGAAGGATTGTAAAGTTTTATTTTGAGGCGGGGGTAGAGGAGATGAAAATATTTACTGGATAGTTAGTCATAGAGGAAAGAATATGGCCTGGTGATGGAAATAGTTGTTAAAGCTATTAAAATAGCCAGGCTCTCCTAGGAAAAGAGAGTAGAGAAGGAACACAGCATACTTAATTAAAAACGGTGGAAAGAAGAGGGCAGCAAATGAAGTGATAGGACAAATAATCAAGACACCATACTATTTTGGAAGTTATACAGTCTCAAAAAGGAGGCCATGATCAGTGATGTTGAATACAGGAAAGGCCAAAAATAAGGCTTTCCTATCTGGTGAGAAAGTTATTAGTTATTAATTATAATGTGCACTTTGAGAATTATGTCCAATGCCTATCAAAGTAATAGTAAATTTGGAAGAAAATTATCTGGTAGTAAAAAAAAATTAAAAATATCCACTGATGCAACAGTCACAGAGCATTTTATAAAGAAGCCAAGTGTTGAAAATTAATAGAAGAAAGGTGATAAATTAGAGACAGAAGAGGCAAGCAAGTTTTTTTCCTCCTCCATGGGAATAGAGACCAATTAATGAAAAATTGAACACACCAGGAAGAAATGTTAATTCTAAGAGCAATATACTTAGAATGTGGGAAATAATGAGATGATTTTTTTTTTTAATTTATTCCTTTGGACTACTGTGGAATGTTTTTACTAAGTGTCAAAGAAGGATTATAAAATCTTCCCTGTATTGTTATTTTTTATGTTCATAAATCTTAAGAGTAGTAGCTGTCTTAAAATTCTTGTTAACACTTAGCTCCACCTAGAGAACATGTAATAATTGGCTTTTTAGGAATTTTTTCAGGAAGTTTGAGCCTTTCTTTAAAAACTAAAGTGAAAAATGAAAAGATAGAATAAAGAAAAATATTGATGTTAAGGTGAGGAAATAGTTTGATGTTAATCCTACTATATTAATTGACATTAATTTGTGACATTAATTTGTGTTTTCAGATGACAGTATGTATTATGAAATCTTGCACTGGGAAAATGTAGATGGGAGCATCGTGGTGTCTTTTATCATTTTCAGTGCAATTTATAATTCACAAACCTTAGACTTTTTGTGTTTTACAGTCTGTTGCCAGAATCGGCCAAACTGGAACAAAGTCTGTCTTCTCACAGAGCGGAAATAGTCGAGAGGTAACTCCAATTCTTGTTGCACAAACACAAAGTTCTGGCCCACAAACAAGGTATTTATTGTGGTGTCATTATTTGATATTATTTGGCTTTTCTTGCTATAAAACATGACTTTATTCCCTTTAGGCAGGTTTTGACCCTCCCTGAGATTCTAGAATGACTCTTACAAGTTTTGAATATGTCATATTAGAAATTTCTAGGGGCACCTGGCTGGCTCAGTCGGTAGAGCATTAGACTCTTGATCTTGGGGTTGTAAGTTCAAGCCCCACATTGGGTGTAAAGCTTACTTAAAAATAAGATCTTTAAAAAGAGGAAGGAAGGAAGGAAGAAAAAAGTTTCAAACTTACTGAAAAGACTAGTATAATTTTTAATTATTTTTTTAAAGGCTTATTTTTTTATAGAGTGAAAGAGTGCAGGGGAGAGGCAGAAAGAGAAGTGGGGACAGAGGATCTGAGGCAGGCTCTGCGCAGTCAGCAATGAGCCCATTGTGAGGCTCGAACTCATGAACCGCAAGATCAAGACCCCAGCAGAAGTCCAATGCTCAACCGACTGAGCCACCAAGGTGCCCCTAGTTGATATTCTGAATACTCCTCCAAAATAATTTTCTTCTTATTAAATGACCTTCGTTGGTCAAGTACAATAGATTTCATTCTCCTCTTCCCCTATTATGCACTTCTGTATACAGATCATCTTTTGGTAAACCTTTAAATAATGAATCCATTTCCACACAGAAATGGTGTTAAATAGGATTTCTTTTCCTGTTCAAGCACTCAAAAATAAATCATAGCTAGTGTTTTAAAAGAATACGGCTCTGTCTTCTAAAATAGTGAATGTGTACTATAAGACTTAAAACAGACACTCACGTGCATATACCTTGACTATATAAAAGGCCTCAATATTTCTGAAATGCCAGGATGGTAATCTTATCATGAGAGCCAACTTACAGACAGATGACAGTGATTGCCTGGGCTCGATCATGAGAAGGAGCCTGAGGCCTCCTGCAGAACAACATGATAGAGGCTGAGTAAATGCTAATCCTAAAGAATATGGAAACGTAATTTACTGAATAATACATTTCACTTCAAGCTAAACAAATACACTAACTTTAATAAGCAACTATTAATGATTTTGTATGAGTTATGGGTTTTGTTTTTTTTTTGTATTATTGATTCCATTTTGTCTCATTTATTGTATTAGTTTCCTACAGCTGCCATAACAAAGTATTACAAACTAGGTCACTTAAGACTACAGAAATGCATTCACTCACGGTCACGGAAGCTATAATCCAAAGTCACGGTGCTCACAGGGCATACTTCCTCCGAAGCCTTCAAGGGAAGATCCTTTCTTATATTGTCCAGCTTCTGGTAGCCTCAGGCATTCCTTAGTTTGTGGGGGCATAACCCAGTATCTGCCTCTGTCTTTACATGGCCATCTTCCCTGTGTGCCTTTGTATCCAAATTTCCCTCTTCTTATAAGGGCATCAGTCATACTGAATTAGAGCTCACCCTAATGGCCTCATCTTAACTTGATTACATCTACAAGGACCCTACATCCAAATAAGTCACAATCACAGGTACTGGGGGGTTAGGGCTTCAACATATTCTTTGGGAAAACAGTTCAACCCATAACATTGTCTTACTAACAATTACTCTTTATTTTGTCTTTTTAGAGGCTGTTTTAGTATTTAGAGTATACACTTTAACTTAAAGTCTATTTTCAAGTAATGTTGTACCACTTCATATACATCATATACCTTATAACAGTATGTTTTCATGCTCTTCTCCACATCTTTATACTATTGTTGGCATATATTTTGCTTCTACATGTGTATAAACTCCACAGTGCATTGTTGCGGTTTCTCCCTTAAATACTTATCTTCTATAGAAATTTTTTTAAATAAGAAAAAGAAATCTATTTTATATTTACCCACATATTTACTATTTCTGGTCCTCTTTCTGTAGGTCCAAACTTCAATTTGGTATTCTTTTCCTTCATCTTGAAAGACTAAAATTTCTTATAGTCCAAGTCTGCCAGTAATGAATTTTTCAGCTTTTGTACGTCTAGAAAAAAATTTTTACTTTACCTTTGTTTTTGTTTTTGAAATAAATTTTCACTGGATATAGAATTCTCGTTTGCAGTTTTTTCTTTAAAGATGTTCTGCTGACTTCTAGCTTGTGTTGTTTCTGACAAGTCTGCTCTCATTCTCATTTTTGTTCCTCTATATGTAATCTATCTTTTTCTGTTTTATGATTTTCTTTTTATCACTGATTTTTAAGTCATTTGGTTGTGATGTGCTCTAGCGTAGTTTTCTTCTTTCTTGGCCAGAGATCGAGAGCTCCTTGATCTATGAGTTCATAGTTTTTATCAAATTTAGCTAATTTTTGGCCATTATTTCTTCTAATATTTTTTCTGGTCATGTCCCCCTCTCTCCTTCTAGGACACCAAATGTATGTGTATTAGACTGTTAAGTTGTCCCCACAGCTCAGTTTTGTGTTCATTTTCATTTCTAGTCTTTTTCCTCTGTTTCATTTTGGATAGTGGTTATTGGTGTGTCTTCAACTTACCGATGTTTTCTTCTGCAGCGTCTGGTCTGCTGTTAATCCCATCCAGTATGTATAGATATTTTTAATCTCAGATGTCCTATTTTTCATCTCCAGAAGTTTGATTTGCTTCCCTCCTTTAACATGCCTATTCTTTCTTCTACCTTTTTGAGCATATGGAATATATCTATAATAGCTTTTTTAATGATTTTTGTCTACTATTTTACTATGTTATTTCTGGGTCTGTTTTTTATTGATTTTTTTTTCTCTGTTCAATATAAGTTATATTTTCCTGCATCTTTGTATGCCTAGTTTTTTTTTTTTATTGGAAATTTTACATTGTTGAGTGCTAGACTATTTTATTTTCTTTTAAGTACTTCTGTTTTGTTCTGCGATGTAGTTACTTGTTAACAGTTTGTTCCTTTAGGTCTTGATTTTTAAGTTTTGTTAGGTACGACAAGAGTGGCCTTGAGTCTGGACTAATTATGCTTCGCTATTGAGGCAGTATCCTTTGAGTATCTACTCAATGACCTGTTGAGTGTGAGGTTTCTTAATTCTAGCTATTGAAAATATGGGCTACTCCAAGCCCAGGGTGAGCTCCAAGAATGGTTCTGCCAGCTCCTTTCCAGTAGTTCTTTCTCTAGATTCAGGTAGTTTTCCTCACTGTAATACTGTAGTAAGTTCTGGTAGTAATCACCCAGACTTAGTATAGACTCTGCAGGCTAATAAGATCATAGTCCCAACAAGACTTATCAAACCTCATTGACTTGCCTGCTGCAAATTCAGGGGCTTCCTGGGTCACCTTCACTTCTGACCAACTAGCTACAAATTTGAGGGTTCTCATTACTCTCTCAGGCTTAGTAATTTGCTAGAACAATTCACAGAATTTAGGAAAGTTCTCTACTTACAGCTTGATCATAAAGGGTACCAGTCAGGACCAGACAAGTAAGACTGAGGTCTGGGAGGGTCCTGAACACAGTGCTTCTATGTCCTTTCCCTGTGGAATCAAGATATGTCCCCTCACCAGCACATCAGTGTGTTTGCCAACCTGGAAGTTACACTGAGCTTTGATAGAGTTTTTATTGGGGTTCATCACATGGGCATGATAGATTGTATCATTGGCCATGTGATTTAACTTAATCCCTAGCCACCCTCCCCTTCCTAGAGACCAGGCTGTTAACACTTAGCTCAAAGCTTTAACCCTCTAACCAGTGGTTGGTCTTTTCAGCATGGGCAGCCCAGTATCCCAAAACTGTCTAGGGCCCCATCATGAGTCATTTCATTAGCATAAATTCAGGGACCTGCCATAAATAACAGACACTCCTATCACTTGGGAAATTTAAAGAATTTAGAAGCTTCTTCTCACGAATCCAAGACAAAGACCAAATGAATTCTTTATTATAACGTACCTTATTATAACACACAGTTGCACTACTCAGTTTTCAGCTGAGGATTCTAGCAAAACTTCCTGCAGATCTTTGAAGCTCTCCCTCTTTGTAGCTCTCCCCTTTCTAGTACTCTGCCCTGCATATTCTAGTTGCCTTCACTACCCAGAAGTCTCAGCATTTTCTTCTCTGCACAGGGAGACCCTGAGTTCTATTTGTGTTCCCTTTCCCAGCACCGTGTCCTCAGGACTCTTCCTCAGGCATATGTGCTTTCTGTCCAATGTCTGAAAAACATTGTTTCATATCTTTTGTTCGGTGTTATAGTTGTTTAAGATGGGACAGTAAATCTGGTCCATAGGGTTTCATTACAATTGGCGGTGGAAGTCTGTTCTTTTTTTAGAAAGTTGTTTTTTTAGAAATGATTAGAATAGCCTAGTTCTCTTAGCTAAATTGCCCCAAAATTTTACATATCATTTTCTCTATATTAACCTATAAAAATCATTTTTATAATCTTTCCAAGGCATCTTTTTATAACTGGTAGGATATTTCCGATTTTATTACAGAGCCATAAAATGATACTATTTACAAAAGCTTTTTTAAAAAGTGTTTTAATATAAGTGGTACATAATGACATAGGTAATAAGTGATAGAACTTGATCTCAAACCTCAACAGTCTTGATTCTAGAGCACATTCTTTTCCTTCTCAAGCTCCTAGTTAAACAGATGCAAGTTATAAAGAGATATGTATATTTCACATGCTGTGACCAATGTTTCAAAACTCACACAGTATCCTGCTTCATTTTTCTGATGCCTGTCAGACTTTGAACATTGTTTTCTTTTGTCAAATTGCCCTTTGGAGCTAACAGAACCCTAATGAAAATTATAATAGAGGAAGAGTTTGTCTTCTTCAGACTCCTAGCCCCAGAATCCTCTTACTATTGTTTTTACTTCTACCCCCACAAGAGTTATGTTACACAACTTTTTGTGGCATTTAAGAAGTCTCAGCTTTTTTCTCAGCATTGTCCTCCCTATAAACTGCTCCATGGATCAAACTATTCCCTCCCACTTCTCAGACAAACTCTTCTATAGTTAGGTAATAGTATTGACAACATATAATTCACATTTGTAATGTAAATGACACATAGTTGTTCAAATAAAGAATATTGTACTTTTAAAAATGGATTGGTTTCTGGAAAAGACAGAACTATGGAGACAATAAAAAGATCAGTAGTTGCCAGGAGTTGGAGGGGGAGGGTTGAAGAGGCAGACCCCAGAGGTTAGGGCAATGAAAATATTCTGTATGATAGATACCATGATGGATAGATACATGTCATTATACCTTTGTGCATACCTATAGAATGAACAAAACCAGGAGTGAACTCTGTGATAAACTATGGACTTTATAGAATGTCAGTGTAGGCTCATCACCTGTAACAAATGTAGCAGTCTGGTGGGGGATGTTGATAGTGGGGGAGACTATGCATGTGTGGGGACTTGGGAGTATATGGCAGCTCTCTCTGTACCTTCCCCTCACTTTTGCTGTGAACCTTTTTTGTTGTTGTTATTAGTTTATTTATTTATTTTGAGAGAGAGAGTGTGTGAGCAGGGAAGAGTCAAAAAGAGGGAGAGACAGAATTCCAAGCAGGCTCCACACTGACAGCACAAGCCTGATACAGGGCTCAAACTCACAAACCATGAGATCGTGACCTGAGCCAAGTCAAGAGTCCAATGCTTAACCAGCTGAGCTACCCAGGAGCCCCTGCTATCACTTTAAACTGCTCTAAAAAAATAATCTTAATTAAAAGAAATTATCATAAAATAAAATTAATTCATCAACCTAAATGACATCCTTTGCTGAAATCCCTACATTGAGATTCTGTCTTTTGAAAGGGTTAAGGACCACGTGGGCTTTCTTTACTCACTGGTCAGTATCTCTTTTATTCTCCAAAGCCTCTTTGACTCAAATCCAGGTAACTTAGTGGTATTTCCCATAAATTGTAAACCATTAAGCCCGTAGACTTACCCACTCTCAGATAACTCCAGGTTTTAAGTTTGCTCACGTTTTTTTTTTGAGAGCGTGAACACACATGTGGGGGAGGGACAGAGGGAGAGAGAGAGGAGGAGAGGATCTTAAGCAGGCTCCACGCCAGCGTGAGCCCAGCCAGCGTGGAACCCAGCTCAGGGCTTGATCCCACAACTGTGAGATCACGACCTGAGCCGAAATCGGGAGTTGGATGCTCAACAGCTGAACCACCCAGGCGCCCCTAAGTTTGCTTACTTTTGAAGAATAGAATCCTTGTATCTTAGGGTTTGCCTTTAAAGTAAAAAAAGAAAAAAAAAAAGTGCCCAAGCAGTTGTTAGATTCCTTTGTTCTAAACAAAATAAACCTTGATGTGGTTGTTTGAATTTATAGGGAAATTATTTCTCAAGTATCAGTTGTTACAATGGTATTTATTTATTGGCAGATATCCCACATTTAGACCGTCCCTGTCCAACTATCTTTTTTCTCTAGCTTGGTATAGTTGCAAATGAAGGCTAGAAAGAATTAGTTTATAGATGTGTTTATCATTTATTGACCCAGAATTTTTATGTGGATTGTTTTAAGTTCAAATTAGCAGTTTCAGATAGAGTGAAGACTGGTCGTATAATCATCATCATTTTATGGTAACACAGGTTTTAAATCCTGAGTTTTCATAGAGGGATGACAGACTGACCAAACTCACCAAACTAGAGTGCAAACATGAATGAATATTTTGTAATGCATCTGAATCGAATCCATAGTTACTGGTCATAGCTGGGTTTTTTTTTTAATGTCTACTTTTCCTCATTTTTTTTTAGTACAACACCTCAGGTATTGAGCCCCACTATCACATCTCCCCCAAACGCACTGCCTCGAAGAAGTTCGCGACTCTTTACTAGTGACAGCTCTACAACCAAGGTAATTTAAAGATTTCTGTATGTCACATTTCCTTAACACGTCCCTCTCTTAAATTTCAGTTCATTGATGACTCCCATCTCTAATTAATAAATTCAGAGACTATTTAAAATTTTTTAATATTTTTTTGATTGGGAAAGCTGTCTATAACATTTGTAAATTTTCTTGGTCCTTCAATAAATATTCTAAAACATTGTTCTAAAGACAAAATTATTGTGATGGGAAGCAGATCAGTGGTTTTTAGGAGTTAGGACTTGAGGGACAATGTGACTACGGGGTATAACCCAAAGGATTTCTTTGTGTAATGGTTGGACAGTCCTGTATCCTTACTGTCGTGGTTGATTACACAAATCATACATATGACAAAATTTCATAGACTTATCACACCAAAAAGAAAGAAAAAAGAAGTACATGATTTCATCATGTAAAAACTGATGAAATCCAAGTAAGAACATAGTTTAGTTGATAGTATTAAACCAATCCCAGTCTTCTGGATTTGATGGTGTGCTATGGTTATGTCAGATACTATAACACATGTCCTTTGTTTTTTTTTGCACAATTGGAGGGCCTCATTACGCCCTTGGTAAGTTTTCTTGGTCCATCGACAAATATGGACAATTTTTAACTCTGACATGAACAAATCAACAATTTTATGACTTATTAGCTATAATACTCTGAGACGATTAGGTAGTATTGCATTCATTTATTTTCTAATTTTTTAAGTAATAAATGAAACTGATACACTTTCAGAAAAGAGCAACACTTAATGCAGATTTACCTTACATACTAATATATTAATACAATTTATTTTCAGAATTGCTGCATTTAAAGTTAAATGACTTTGAAAATGTTTGATTTATAAATCTTTTCTGAGAAAAATATAGACCATTCAAGACTGAACATTTATTTTGTGTCTACTACTTGAGAAAGGATTGGGAAATCTAAAATACATGAGTTTAATAAGTGTGGAATTTTCCTCTTTTTTACAGGAGAATAGCAAAAAGTTAAAAATGAAGTTTCCACCTAAAATCCCAAACAGAAAAACTAAAAGTAAAACTAACAAAGGAGGAATAACTCAACCTAACTTAAATGATAGCCTGGAAATTACAAAATTGGACTCTTCCATCATTTCAGAAGGGAAAATCTCCACAATCACACCTCAGATCCAGGCATTTAATCTGCAGAAAGCAGCAGCAGGTCTGTGTCAATGCTTAATGTTTGCTTTGTATTTTATTTTATTCACTTATTTTAAGTAATTTTTTTTTATGTTCATTAAAGTACCTTCCATTTTTTTCCAGATAGAGGTTGGGATTTTTAATAAATTATTTTGTATTTAGCCTTTCTAGAAAACCAAACTATTTTACTGTGTTTTTCTCCTTTGTTTACTATATTGTTTTCTCCTAGAAGGTTTGATGAGCCTTCTTCGTGAAATGGGGAAAGGTTATTTAGCTCTGTGCTCATACAACTGCAGAGAAGCTATATATATCTTGAGCCACCTACCTTCTCACCACTACAATACTGGTTGGGTACTGTGCCAAATTGGAAGGGCCTATTTTGAACTGTCAGAGTACATGCAGGTAAGAGATAATTTAAATTTCATTAAGATGCCTATGTTTGAGACAGCTAGACCTAAAAGGTCAATATTTATTATGTAATGTCTTTATTTTCTGAGCATTTGTAATTTATAAATAGTCAAATTTTTTCTTGTGTTTAAGGAGTAATTTAAATTTGGGGGGATTGCTTGAAATAGATTTGTAGAGGGGAGCCTGGGTGGCTCAGTTGGTTAAGTGTCTGACTTCAGCTCGGGTCATGATCTCACTGCTCTTGAGTTCAAGCCCTACAATGAGCTCTGTGCTCAGAGCCTGGAGCCTGGTTTGGGTTCTGTCTCCATCTCTCTGCCCCTCCCCTGCTCATTCATTCTCGCTCTCTCTCTCTCTCTCTCTCTCTCTCAAAAATAAAATAAACAAAAAAAGAAATAGATTTGTAGAGAGTCCAAGTCATCCATATATTCTTATGTGGATATTTGTACATACTCAGTTGGATCTGAAAATCTATACTACCATGTAACAGATGTTTATAATCAAACTTTTTTCTACTATATGCAGAGTTCCTCCTGGGATGAATTTTTGGCATTTAATATATTTAATAAACTTGAAAAGTGCAATGAAGAAAATTTTATGTAATCGAGGACACAATGTCCTTCACAAGACTTTTACCCTTTTAATTATATTCATTGCTTAAGTTAGTCTGTTTATACCAGAAAAGGAGAGTATTAATATCAAGCCAAAGAAAATTCTAATTTCCAATTTAAATTTTCCCCCTAGTTCATCTTCTGAGCATTTTCTCTCCTCACCCCTAAACTTAAAAAAATAAAAAAAACAACTTTAAGAAACCTATATATTAATTAAAATTTCTCTAATACAAATTATTTAAAGTTTATAATAAAGTTACTTTTGCTCTCTTTCAATTCTATTTATTCAGTGCGTGTTATGTCTTAGCCTCTTCTAGACTTTAATATAGCTAGACAAATAATTGCTTGCCTTTATAGAGCATGCATTCTAGTAAGAGAGACAGGTTGTAAGCCAATAAATCTATAAGGATGGTAGCACTAGGTCAGAGGAAGTAAAAAATGAGGCATGGTAAGATCGCAGGGCAATAACATGGTGGTATTTTCTAAAAAGTGTGCTTAGAGAAAGGTCACTCCTCCCGTCATGAACCATGCAAAGACCTGAGGGTGAAGTGTTTGTTCTTCCAGGTAGAGGATAAATGCAGAAGATACCACCTCGAGTATTTTTGCATGGTAAAGCGAAAAGTGTTGTTGTAGACACATAGCCTTATTCATTGCTAGAAGTTCCATGTTCGGGTAATGGCCCTTTACTGGTACACAAGAACTGTGTTTGGCAAGCCCTTTTCAAAATTATTTCTGATTTATTGTTTCACAGGTACTTTAAAATACATAATTTTTATTGTTTCCCTCTAACTATAGAGCAGTGACACAGATACTTAACAGAAGCCTTTGTTTCAACTTAATTTCATGAATTTGGTTTTTTTGTTTGGTTGGTCGGTTGGTTTTGTTTTTGGTCTATGCCACACTTTTCAGAGGAAGCAATAGATCCTGAAAAATTTTAAACCAAAAGATTTGCAGAACCCATATTTGACTTGTGGTTAAGTACATCTTCTTAGAACCAATGCCGATTTGAAAAACTTACCTGTATAACTTTTAAGGTATTTCAGGGAAGTTACAAATCATTAAGCTAATTATACATAGTATATGGCCATTTCTTGGAGTTCCTAGTTTTATAAATCCAATTTTCTTATTTTCTGCCATCTTCATTTCATTAAGAACACTCCTAATCTTTTTGATTCTTTGTTTTAAATTTTTTAAAACATTTTTATTTATTTTTGAGAGAGAGAGAGAGAGACAGAGCGTGAGCGGGGGAGGGGCAGAGAGAGAGGGAGACACAGAATCTGAAGCAGGATCCAGGCTCTGAGCTGTCAGAGCCTGATGCAGGGCTCAAACTCACAAACCATGAGACCATGACCTGAGCCAAAGTCTGTGCTCAGCCCACTGAGCCACCTAGGTGCCCCAATATTTTTTATTCTAAACCAAACTTGACTTTCAGAATTTTGAACTTTTGAATCAATAAACTAGGGAACCACTAATTCGTTTGGTATAACCCAAAGCTTCAAGGTGAGAGAAACAATTCTAAGGGCTGTGAGTGTAGGGAGGAAAAAATTAGCAGAGGAGGGACCCTAAAGTCAGGAGAGGTCTGCAAAAGAAAAGGGAATTACTAGGTTGGGACTACATTTCCCATCAGGTACAACTTTGGAGGTTGTGCTCCGTACTCAACATGCCTCAGTGCTGGTGGCCAACTGAACCTGGTTTTCCCCTAAAGTTTCTTTCTTCCTTTCTTTCTTTCTTTCTTTCTTTCTTTCTTTCTTTCTTTCTTTCTTTCTTTCTTTCTTTCATGACAGCTTGTTTTGTTGTTGTTGTTGTTGTTATTATTTTAATTGTTTTAAATGTTTATTTATTTTTGAGAGAGAGAGACAGGGCACGAGCAGAGGAGGGGCAGAGAAGGAGATACAGAATCCGAAGTGGGCTCCAGGCTCTGAGCTGTCAGCACAGAGCCCAACACGGGGCTCAAACTCACAAACTGCAAGATCATGACCTGAGCTATAGTCGGATGCTTAACCGACTGAGCCACCCAGGTGCCCCTTCCCCTAAAGTTTTCAACTCAGCCTCTCAATAGAAGTCACTGCAAAAGTAGTTTTGTGTTACAGAAGTCATTATTGTTTCACCTTTCCTGAGAGAGTTATTCTGTGAAGCCATTATTAAGACTTAGAAATGTGTGTTTTGTGAACTAAATAATTGACTCATCCTTTGCAAATTGTAATTTTGTATAGATTTCTCCTCTCTTTGGTGGAAACATAGATTTGCTTTCACAATTTGTGTTCTTACTTTTTTACCATGATTTGTATATACCTAGTTTGACCTATTGTCAAAGCTGTTCAATTTGGCTAATTCACATCAGCGCTTAAAACAAGGCAGCATTTAGGTCTTCTGAGAACAGTACCCGGTATTCTCCCCGTATGTATGTAAATGGTATCAACTTGTTTTCCCCTTAACTAGTTTTTTTCTTATTTCAGGCTGAAAGAATATTCTCCGAGGTTAGAAGGATTGAGAATTACAGAGTCGAAGGCATGGAGATCTACTCTACAACACTTTGGCATCTTCAGAAAGATGTTGCTCTTTCAGTTCTTTCAAAAGACTTAACAGACATGGATAAAAATTCACCAGAGGTATGTTAACTGAAACACTTGGCTTATGTAGTTGCCTTTTGATCACCTTTGACACGTGGGGATGAAGCAAATAATTCAGACGCCATTTAGCATCATCCATACTTACTTTTGCATCCTTCTCTATAGACCAAGAGGGATTCAGAGAAGAGAAAGTCCTAGAGTGTGTGGTGCAGATTCACGAGCATGTATTTCATCCAAGAATAATCAAGATTTGGCTACATGAACATTGCTGTTGTCAGCAAAATTGGTGTTCATTAAGCAGAAATTACGCAGATTGGAAAAAGTGCTAATTAAAATAGTGCTTTTTATTGTCATTTTAAGACACAGGCACAATTCATTTACACGCTTCAGTCCTGTAAGAATACTATTTCATTGCATGTCAGGAATCGTTAGTGGTACTTTTGTAACATATTTAAGCTTAGAATTAAAATCATTTAGGGTGCCTGCGTGGCTCAGTAGGTTAAGCAACCGACTTCGGCTCAGGTCACGATCTCATAGTTTGTGAGTTCGAGCCCTGCGTTGCGCTCTGTACTGACAGCTCAGAGCCTGGAGCCTGCTTCAGATTCCGTGTCTACCACTCTCTCTGCCCTTTCCCTGCTCATGCTCTGTCTCTCTCTCTCTCTCTCAAAAATAAATAAAACATTAAAAAAAAAAAATTCAGTTCTCATTATTCTTGATAGTTATGTTCAGTAGTTTCTGTGAACACTGAGTTAGCAAAGACTGAACCATTGCTTCTGGCACACACACCTCACACAGGTTATATATATAATTTTTTTTTTAAGTTTATTTATTTTTGAGAGAAAGAGTACAAGTCAGGGAGGGGCAGAGAGAAAGGGAGAGAAAAAGAGAATCCCAAGCTGGCTGTCAGCACAGAGTTGGACTCGGGGCTTGATCTCACATGAGATCATAATCTGAACTGAAACCAAGAGTCGACGCTTAACCGCCTGAGCCACCCGGGCACCCCCAGATTATATTCTTAAATCGTAAAAACAACTCATCCTGGTAGATTTCTATTTTCTTTATTTTATAAAAGAGAAAACGAGGTTCAGAAGTGTTCACTAAGGTGATTTGTCTGAGGCCTCCCTGCAAAGGTGCTAGAGTTGGGAGTCTCTCACTGTCCACCTGGCCCCAGTGCCAGAGTTTCTTGCACTGAGCTGCCCCTCCACTTGCTGTCCTCTGGTCATCTCTCTATGAGAGATGAAACAGGGAGGCCTAGAGTGGCCTTTTTTGACCTCATCTGAGACTGTGCCTGTTGGACCACTCATATGTTGGGCCCACAGTGACCACTAACATACTCCATGTTGATTTGGGTTTAACAAATACTGTAAATTTTAGCAAGTAGACAAATTCGCTAATATGAAATCCTTAAACAATGAAGATCCACCGTATCTATTAAAAAACATTGATTTTAGTCATAAATTTGGTTTTGTTAGAAAAATTGAAACAAAATTTTAACTATACGCTTGTGTTTTGTTTCCATTTTTTTAAAGGCCTGGTGTGCTGCAGGGAACTGTTTCAGTTTGCAACGGGAACATGATATTGCAATTAAATTCTTCCAGAGAGCTATCCAGGTTGATCCAAATTATGCTTATGCCTATACTCTACTAGGGCACGAGTTTGTGTTAACTGAAGAATTAGACAAAGCATTAGCTTGTTTTCGAAATGCTATCAGAGTCAATCCGAGACATTACAATGCATGGTAAGTGCTGATGAAGTGCAAAGACAATGTCCTGCTGATAGGACTGATCCTCAGTAATTTGTCTTGTTAGAAATCTCTATTGTCATGAACTTAGTTACTAATACTTAAGAATAGTACATACTGGTTGCTAACTAGTAACCAAATTTTTTATGTGAAATGTATACATTTAAGAAACTTTTAAATTAACTAATGATGACGGAATACCAGATCCTTATACTCTACAGTTTCAACCTTTTCTCCTACCAACCTTTTGAAAGTAATTGATTTTGTTACTTGATTTGTTTCTTTTTCTTAGAACACTGACATCGTGATTAGGATAGACACTGATTGGGAGGGAGGGGACATGGTCTCTTTGCCATGTGCGCCGTGCACTCTGTCCCTCACTCGCCTCCAACAGCCTGCCTCATCACCCGCATGCGCTGCCACTGCCCTTCAGAAATGCTTGGATTACCTGCAGTCCTTTGCCAAATCAGGCCAGCGTCCAGGGCACTGGCTCCTCATCTGACTCAGGCCGATGCCAAAGATGTAAAATTTGGTGCAGATGCCCAAACCTTAATGCTTTAAGGTGTAGACCTTTTAGCCGATGGCTGTAGCTGTTACCATGGGGCCAAAGGGAAGAATAGTGATTATTGAACAGAGTTGGGGCAGTCCCACAGTAACAGCAGATGGTGTAACCGCTGCAAAGTCACTTGACTTAAAAGATAAATATAAAAATACGGGACTAAACTTGTTCAGGACGTTGCCAATAACACAAACGAAGAGGCTGGAGGTGGCACCACTACTGCTGCTGTCCTGGCAAGCTCTATTGCCGAGGAAGACTTCGAGAAGGCTAGCAAAGGTGCTAATCCAGTGGAAATCAGGAGAGGTGTGATGTTAGTTGTTGATGCTGTAATTGCTGAACTTAAGCAGTCTAAACCTGTGACAGCCCCTGAAGAAATTGCTCAGGTTGCCACCATCTCTACAAATGGAGACAAACTGGCTACATCATTTCCGACGCAGTGCAAAAGGTTGGAAGAAAGGGTGTCATCACAGTAAAGGATGGAAAACCACTAAATGATGAATTGGAAATTATCGAAGGCATGAAGTTTGATCGAGGTTATATTTCTCCATACTTGATTAATACATCAAAAGGGCAGAAATGTGAATTCCAAGATACCTATGTACTGTTGAGTGAAGAGAAAAATTTCTAGTGTTCAGTCCATTGTACCTGCTCTTGAAATTGCCAATGCTCACCATAAGCCCTTGGTCATAATTGCTGATGATGCTGGTGGAGAAGCTCTGAGTACGTTTGTTTTGAATAGGCTAAAAGTTGGTCTTCAGGTTGTAGCCGTCAAAGCTCCAGGTTTTGGTGACAAAAGAAAGAACCAGCTTAAAGATATGGCTATTGCTACTGGTGGTGCAGTGTTCGGAGAAGAAGGGTGACTCTAAATCTTGAAGATGTTCAGCCTCACGACTTAGGAAAAGCTGAAGAGGTCATTGTGATCAAAGATGATGCCATGCTCTTAAAAGGAAAAGGTGACCGGGCTCAAATTGAAAAAACGTACCCAAGAAATCAATGAGCAGTTAGATATCACAACTAGAGAATATGAAAAGGAAAAGCTGAATGAACGTCTGGCAAAATTCTCAGATGGAGTAGCTGTGCTGAAGGTTGGTGGCACAAGTGATGTTGAAGTGAATGAAAAGAAAGAGTCACAGATGCCCTCAGTGCTTCACGAGCTGCTGTTGAAGAAGGCATTGTTCTGGAAGGGGGTTGTGCCCTGCTTTGGTGCGTTCCAGCCTTGGATCCAATAACTCCAGCTAATGAAGATCAAAAAGTTGGTATAGAAATCATTAAGATAACACTCCAAATTCCTGCAATGACCATTACTGAGAATGCAGGTGTTGAAGAATCATTGATAGTTGAGAAAATTATGCAGAGTTCCTCAGAAGCTGGTTATGATGCTATGCTTGGAGATGTTGTGAATATGGTAGAAAAGGAAATCATTGATCCAACTAAGAACTGCTTTATTGGATGCTGCTGGAGTGGCCTCTCTGTTAAGTACAACAGAGTCCCCAAAATTGCTAAGGAAGAGAAAGACCCTGGAATGGGTGGAATGGGATGTGGTATGGGAGGTGGCGTGTTCTAATTCCTAGAATAGCGCTTTACCATGATTGATGAACTGTGACAGGAAGCTGAAGGCAGTGCTTAAGAGCTTCAGAGAAGTCGGTTGAAGGAAATGACTGAAGAAAAGGCTGGCTGATGTTTAAGAAAATCACTATAATCATCAGTTACTGGTTTCAGTTGACAAACATATAATGGTTTACTGCCATCATTGTCCATACCTACAGATAATTTATTTTGTATTTTTAAATAAGACGTTTGTACATTCCCGAAAGCAATGTAAGAGCCATGTGCCAATGTACTGCTTTTGACTTAAATCACTGCAGCATTTTTACTACTATTTGTTAAAATCAGGATTTTAGTGCTTGCTATCACCAAATGAAAAGTTAAGAAGCAGTCTTTCCGTGGAGAATAAGAATAATTGTATACAAAGTAAAGAAATATCCATTTATGTGACAACCTTTGTGTAATAAAAATTTGTTTAAAGTTAAA